CTTATTGCTTTTTTTTCAAAACTAACTACACTTTTGTAATTAATTTATCTAAAAAAAGGTATAGTCAAGAAAATGTGCAATGCCTATTTTTATCCATAAAATTTGAAAAAAACACATACTTTTGTAATTTATTTATCTAAAATGGGTGTAATTAATTCTCTTAAAGATATAAGTCCTTATTTATCTTAACCGATAATTCAAGTTGGCCAAAGTTGACTATCACATGGATTAATAAAGTAAAAACTGTTTGATTAAAATTTGTGCAGAGGAGAGAGAATTAACTTTAGCCACAGATTCTTTACTTTAAATGGAAATGACAAATCTTTTTGGAACATCCAAAAAAGGAAATTTGGCCAACCTTTTCGGGACGGAGGAGGGAATATATAGCAATCATATCATGATACTAGAATTGGTGTTTAAGAGCTAAATAAATAAGTTAAACTGTGTATATATGATAATTCTTGTACTCAAAGATGTAACTTAATATAGTACTATTTGGTCATAAATTTGAGATCACTTTTTTGTTTCTAAATGTGGGGCATCTTTATTTTTTATTTTTTATTGCATAGTTTTACCTATTTATGTTTCGATCATTACCTACCATTTGGAATGATAATTTTTGTATAGATTTAATTCGGTTGACCTTCTAGGTAAAAATTGTCTACTAAAAATCTAAAGCATGCAACCTTTCTTCTATCAATTATACTTATTTAAAATCAATCTATGTAAACTAAATCGATTGCTACCCATGTCATCGCATTATATATAGCTGGCGTGTTGTCGCCGCCATCAATTTCATTAAAATTAGAATGTCGCAGAATTATATATTTTGAACTTTTTGTTGAAGAGGAAGTTTGAAGGACTAATTTTCTCAATGGTAAATCATAGAAGGTCTAATATCTTAAAAAATATGATCACACTCATTATTAAACAAATAAATTACAAAAATGTGTAGTTATAAGTTTTGAAAAATAGTAAGCTACATACGAGATCTTATGTATATTCCAGTCAGACTCAACCCGTGAGAGGCCTAATCACACTCACGACAATATTAATAGCCTCCACCAAGGCTCCTGATATAAACATGGGTGGAACAATTTTAGGACTTTCGGACATTTTAAATTGGATCGAAATTTTCTGATCTGATCGGGTCTAATATGTTTAAATTGGCTCTGGTCTGTTAGATGTTTGATCTATATGTACTTTATAATTGTTGTAGTTTAGTTTGGTCTGACTTAATATGTTTTAGTCTGATCTGGTCTGGTCTAATCGGTTTAAGTCTGGTTTGATCTGAAACGTGAATAAGTTTGAGATAAACTTATTTCAATGTGAAGCCATATCAAAACTGAACAAATAAACTAAATTAAACTTAGATGATGATGATGATGATGATGTTGATATATACGGAGTATATATATGTGGCTAACTAAGGTATTTTCCATTGATTTATCTTTTTATCGTTACTGTCATCTCTTAAGAGCTTTACAAAAGGATGACACCCCATCCCTGAGGGCCCCCAACACCGACCGGACGACACGATAGGAGGATGTAAATTGGACTATAATCACAATCTGACAGATAGATAGTGGGGCTTCGTCCCCGGTACTTGCAGAGGCCCTCTATTGAGTAACCTCTCATCGCCGTTGTCGGGAGTCGAACCAGAGACCTAACCCTTGTGGCACTCACTCACTACCAGTTGAGCTATGACCACCGGTCTCTTAAGAGCTTTAGAAGATACTACATGATGGAGACATTTACTACGAAGCAGTACTTTGGAGTCTCGATCATCAAAGTAGGCTACAAATCCAACTTTAGAGATACTTGAATGGAAAAAGAAACAAAAGATTAGGCCGTAAGATGGTGACATTACTTCACATATGGTTGCAACAGTTAGAAGTCATTATCCTTCCCAACCAACCTTCTTAAATCTTGGGGCCTCCTCCCATTAATCTTCAAGTAATTGTTTATCAGAATTACTACACTTAAAGTCACTGTTGTCATAAAAAGAATTTAACGAAGAAGCCACATCAATGACAATAAAGTGAACAACAATTCTTGCTACTTTACTGTTTACACACTTATACACATTCTTTGTGATTGCTTTTCTTTGTCTGTGACAGACAAAAACGTATTTTGTTTTGTGACAGACAAAACGTCTTTTGTCTAGTGACAGACTTAAAAAAGTCATCGCAGACACTGTGTACAAGTGTGTAAACACTAAAAGTGTGTACAATTTTTTTTTGTAAAGTGGATCCCTCCCTCACAAAAAAGAAGAAAACAAGAGAGAAATTTATGCATATGAAACATATTTGAGTACATTTTAAGACATCCATGGTGACGGTTGCCGCAGCCATCTTTAGCCTCTTGCATTTTTCCACGGTAATTTCATTTGGCATATAAATGAATTTGATAGAGAATTTAAATGCGAGATCATATGATTTCAGACAATGTAATTTCCACATTGCAAAACTATGACTTGTATATGTTATAGAATGTGGCTTCCTAATCGTGATTAGGGTTGAAGTGATTTACAGAAAGGTAGTTGAGACTCCAAAAGTTTAGAAAATTGGATGTGCTATAACATTTTAACGGTAGAGCTAGCACGGATTGGGAAACAGTGAAATTAGTACTCCCTCCGTCCCGAAAACAACTTCCCACTTTCCTAAATGGATGTCCCAAAATTAACTTCACACTTCAATACTTTCCTTATTTGACAAATTATCTACATCAAAAAAGTGATAAACAGTGTCAAACAGTGTTTAAACAGTGCCAAACAGTGTTTAAACAATGTAAAACAGTGCATTCTACTGTAAAGTCAAATTTATTTCTTAAAAGTGTGTGAAAGTCCAACGTGGAAGTTGTTTTCGGGACGAAGGGAGTACATTTTTTTTGTTATAATCAAATGTGGCACTCGTTTATTAGTGATGAAATGTTATCCATCTTTTCACTACCCAATAAATGAATGTCACACTCGAAAATACTAAAACAAATGTGTCCTAAAATCCGTATTATCATATTTTGACATTATAAGACATTAATATAATAATGTTATATTTAATGTTATGATTGGCAGTAATTTTCAAACATGATAGTTTTTATTCATTTTAAAGCAAAATAAACATTGTAGTCATATTCTGAAATTTCACATTGTTTTATTCCAATTTAGGTCAAATTTTATTCGTTTACTAAAACTACATAAGTCTTTTTTTAAGAAGAAAACGCAATTAATCTTGTATGTGAACTTGTTGCATTTTTTACTCTTATGATGGGAAATTATTTCTGAATTTGTAATATATATATATATATATATATATATATATATATAGTATAGCAATGTACAATGTTAGAGAAAAATATACAGAATAAAACAAAGGAAAAATTGACAAAAATAATCTCACCTTTCGCTGGTCTTCTCATAATAATCCCATCTTTAGATAATCCCAGAATAATCCCACTTTTGCACCCAATTTTCTTTCATTGGACCATGACCATGTTTTTTACTCTTTTTTTGAAAATCATATAAATAATATCACCTTTCACTTTTCTATTATATCTTTATAAATGTGAGATTATTTATATAAGATTTTCAAATAAAGGTAAAAAACTTGGTCAGGGTCCAATGAAAGAAGATGTGGTGTAAATGTGGGATTGTTTTGGGATTATGTAAAGGTAGGATTATTATGAGAAGACCAGTGAAAGGTGGGATTATTCTTGTCAATTTTTCCTAAAACAAATCATTAACACAAGGGAAAAAAGCTAGATAGTATTAGATTAAAATGATTAACCTAAACACATCATCTTGTGGATGATAGGAGTCCTTCGCCATCAGTGCCCATTCTTTCTTATATTAATGTCATGATGATGATCTTATGTGTGTTTCTATGTGACACATGAGAGAGTGAGACCATAAAGCTAACCAAAAAGTGGTATATGAGACTATGAGAGGATTAAGAAGATGGATGAGGGAGCGGAGAGTAAAGAAGGAAGCAATGCTCTCAAAGAAAACCTTATTGCACAAGACAAAGAAGTTTCTCCTTAACACATTCCACAACCTCAGACCATTCCTATTTCCAGCTGACAACAATTACCGCCACCACCGCCAAGGAGCTCCTCACTCCGCCGCCAGTAAGGGGGAGGAGCTAACATATGGTCTTCGTAGAAGCTGGACGACTGAAAAATGGCAGTCCGGGTCCGATCATCATTGTTGCAGCCAAGTGGCAGTGGATGGAGAGTATGACATTGGAAGTCTAAAGATTAATGTTGAAAGGAAAAAGGTTGGTAAAGAAGATATCATGAGGAAGCAGGAGAATGGCAAAAGGAAACGTAGGAAGAGTTTGGGTGAGAAAATGAAGGAGCTAGAGATGGAGGATGATGTGGATCAGGTGCTGGACATTGAAGAAGTTCTCCATACCTACTCTCAGCTGAGATGCCCGATTTACATGGACATTGTCGGCACGTTCTTCACTGACATGTACCATGGCTTCTCTCTTCCGCAGCAGACTACGACCACCACCTCATTAGGTGTCAACGCTCGTACTTCTGGCACAACTCTTGGCCCCGTTAAGTTTCAGGCTTGATAGACTACAAACCTCCTATCATGCTACATATGTTCCTTTTTTCTATTCTTTTGTAGTATGTTGGAAGGTAATGATCTGCTCTTCTGTTTCTTTATGGGACCATCCAATGTGTGTTGAATACAGTAGTTGAGAGAACCAAAAGGTTTGCTCATTTGCAGAATTTCATTTCCAACAAATGCCTAAATGTTTGGCTTGTAAAACAAAAAAAAAAGTTCTTGAAACAGGACTAAATTTTTGTTAGGTTGGGGGAGGTTATATACGCACAACAACCTTTTGTTCTAATTGACACAGATACAGCAATAACCAGTCCAAGACGTTTTACAAAATGGACGATTGAAGATATAAAAATGCAATTCCTAATGCATAGAATACAATTGAACAACATAGTGAAAGACATACTCAAGAACAATTTCCCACTGTAGTTGGTCATCTTATGATTATATGGATTTGCACTTTGCGTGAATTTATAAATGCATTATGGTTCTTTTGGAATTTCTGAAGTAAAAGAAAGCATATCAAGAAATTGCACAAATCAGTGGACCTTCATATATTTGCAGGTAACCGTTTGGTTTTTTAGGTATAAACACAATTCTGAAACTGTACAGCGGGTAAAAGAAACAAAAATCATCTACTATGATATTGCAGAATTTTTTTTGATGTGTTAATCCTCTGCTTTGAGTACTCCAAACTTCCCCTTGTCTTCTCGAAAGTCTCGAAACACATAATCCAGCTCAGGAAAAGCAGATGATAGCAGCAGCTCAACTAGCTCTAAAGCTAATTGCTTCAAACAAACAGATGACTGCATGACAAAAGGCACCATTTATTGAATTTAAGTTTGTCTACAAGAGGACAGAACGGAATAGATCATAAACACAACTACATGCCAGTTTGCTAGGGGAATTTTATGCAATTACCAGTAATAGCAGAAAATAGAGCAAATTTTTTTTGCAGATATTGCTGAATTAAAAGTAAATGACACTTTTACCCTTATGAATATTATTTAGGACTATTAACTTAATTTATCCCGAACTATCATCAAATTCACAAATCTATCATATTCTTTCACTTTTACTAAAAAAAGACTCAAACTCTTATTTTTTTCAACAATTATGCTTTTCTTTTTTGTTTTTGGAAAATAACACATTTTATCAATACCAATAAGATATAATCAATACAAGTTTGCATTCAGTCATTTCAACCAATTCAGTATTTACGTCACTTTAGCCACTCAGCCAACTTTTTCCCTAGCCAAACACGCTCATATATCGTTGCATAGTGATAAAAGGAAAAGGAAACAAACAAAGCTGATGGCAGTAGTTCAATGCATTTGTATAAAAAAAGAATCATAAATGGGACTGTACACTGTAGCATCCAGCAGGATAACTATGCTCACCTGAACGAAAAAATATAGATCCTTGGCACATTGTTCATACTCTTTACGGCCAACAAGACCCACAATAGCAGCTGGTGCTTTATCTGGAAGAAGATAGCCTCACCATGCTAAGAACACTACAAGCTAAGCACAGAATGTAGAAAACAATATAAAGGAGCATAAGCCCAAAGGCGTACCAATCATTAACTCATACACTAATTTTGCCCGTCTCTCAGCTTCCTCCTGTTGCACCTCATCCAGTTTTTTCTGCATTTCCTCCAAGTTAGATGAAGGTAGCGGACTTGGGGATCCATGAGATGAATTATTACTGGATGGAGTTGCAGTTGGGACAGGTCGTTGCCTTCTTGGATGCTTTGTTATGAATATACCATCAGGCCAGAGAGCCTGCACGTAGGCAACATTCCAACTCTCAAAGGCAACCTCTAGAGATGAATAAAATTGCTAAACTTATATTACAAGTAGTGTGATACAATCACATAATCACTCCCAGATAAAAAGTTCATAAGCATTACAGACAAAATGAGGCCAAAAAAATTGGCAAGCATGCCACAAACTGGAAAAGTGAAAATCGCAATGGGCTAAATCCGTAAATTTTGAAGTTCTTAAATGTAAATACATAACACAGAAGGAACAGATACTTGTTCAACACGCTTGATTCCTGCAGCAACTACTGACCCCTGCCGTAGAAGCTGGATCTTTTCAATTAACCAATCATCAAAGGCATCACCCATTCCCAACTGTAACACTTGTTTTGCAATCCAGAAAGCCTGCCTCCTGCATTACTCAGAAAATAAATTAAGCCCCAAAGAAAGGTAAATGTTCTTGATATTAACTTTCATTGTCATACAAATAAATTTTGGAAGAAAAAAAAAGACACTTGATCTTAAAAGCTAATATCAAGAAGCCTGATGCTTTTCATATCAAAACGTGTATTATACATTACCTGATCCACCCACCGTCATGGAGCTGAAAAACAATGTCTACCAAGTCTAAGATTGGCGCACTTAAATTTGGTGGTATCCACTGCATCCAAGAAACAAGCTAATGGTGAGAAACTACGATGAAAATATCATTAATTCAAATGTGAAAAAGTGAAATCGGTCAGTTTGAGAAAAAATGGATGTGAATCAACACTCAACATGATGCATTAGAAAATCAATCACAATGAAAACTCTAAAAACAATAGTATATTGATACAATAAAAAGATATGTATATGATTATGAAATGAATGGGTTATTGTCAGCAACTACCTCACTTGGAAGAGTTGGATCCGACGAAGCATTGACAAAAGACTCAGACGATGTATGTGAAGTAGTGTCACCCACTTTTATTGCCTTCTCAGTTTTAGAGGAAGAAATTTTATTTTTCTGTACTATATTGTCAGAATCGCTGCTTGAGTCTTCAAAATATTTTCTGCTTTCTTTGTTGAGATCTTTTGTTGAAAGCGCTGCCACAGATCTATTGTTCAATCTAGAGGCATCCACCTCATGATTAGACTTCATCCTCGACTTAAAATCCTTTGTTTCGGCCTTAAAATGCCTGCTGTTGGAAGATGTTGGATCAATTGCGGGGCTAATATTTTGCATTTGTTCTTTATTCCTTTCATGCACTGATTCATCCAGATGAACTGAAACTAGTATACACACATGCATACATATAAACTTGTTAAAATGAGTAAAACCAGACGGCATAGAGAGGGCAGATTAGAAGCACATCAATTACCTGATAGTGTTTCAATGATTGAAAGAGAGTTTGAGAAACAGTATGTCTGTGAAATGGCAGATTTGAAGATTTATTAGACTGTTTGTTTGTTCAAAAGAGAACCAGACCTCAGAACGCACAAACCTGAGAATCCACACTGAGGAAGTCCCAGACTTCAATGGAGTTGAAAATAGTTGGGAGCTGTAAAAGTTTCTGAGGGGTCATAGCAGGAGAGGAAGATCAATATGAGATAATGACACCATGCAACAAAGAAAATAAAGTTTTTTAGCTACATCTGAGAAAAATCAATCATATTAGCAAACTCCAAAGGCCATTTTCAGCAAGGTATGAGCACACTAAAACAGTGAATAATGAACTGCAATCTCACCCCTCCACACACACATCAAACTGCTGTTACAATACCATAACCAAAAAATGGCCACATTTCACTCAACAGTGAATCAGTGGTATGTGGACCCATGCGATTTTATAAAACATTAAAATATCAAAGAATTACATACTTCAAATTCATTATTAACAATACTAGCAGCAATCAACACAAATAGCATTTACTCTATAGCTCATTATATAATCCTCTTGGAAGCAGTGTAATAGAATTTTAAGTGACCAATTTACACAAAAAGTACCAATACAAGGTATACACAATATCAATTGTAAACTGTGGGTGGCTTGAAAATAAATATCAAGACACCAGGGAGGCAAAATGACCTTCAGATATGTGTCAAGCAATTTACACCTTTCTTGGACGACTAGCACATCAAGGCCAGTAGAGAAGAAATGCTTGGGTGGCAAATGAAGATTATATTCCGGAAACTCCTTAAGGCGCCTATGTAGCTCTTCAAAGTGACTAAACCTATGAGTTGCATAAGTAAAATTCAGTATATCATAAAGCACATTGATATACAATATTTAACTTAAGAAGATGGGAGTAACTTGCAGATCTAAGCACCTTCTTTTTATTGACCAATTATTATTGTACGCGTCTGTAACGGATATGGAATAAACAGCAAAGGTTTTTGTGCCACTCTTTACAATATTGCCACTTAAGACCTATAACAGGATTATGAGATCACGTCCTTCAGGCCTCTTACATGATTATTATATCTAGTAAACAAATGCCAAATTAACAGGAAATGTCTAGGCAAGCTATTTACCTCGCATCTTAATTTCATAAAAGAATCTACAAAGATGGATGTTCTTGAACTATCTGCATCCAAAATATGATTCTCAAACAAATTGCTTGTAGCAAAAGAGGCCGTTGCAGCTGATCCACTAGATAATCTACAAGATGTGTCTGCCTCAGAACCATCACTTGAGTGTTCACGATTCAAATTATATTTAGAAGAGTTCAGTATATCATGTCCATCTCCTGGTAAGTAGCTTGTTCTTTCAATCTCTTTCCAGACTTGGTCTCTCTCATTACTCAATTTAGACCTCTTCCATCCAGATGATGTAATGCTTGATTGTTTAGATTGATCGTGTCCTTTAATTCCCTTACTTCTTGACTTTTTCTTCTGCGTGCTTTCAAGAGGATGATGAATGTGAGTAACATTTCTTCTATTTTTCCCGTCCCAAACTTTAACCACAGGTGAACGAAGACCAACACTGGTTTCTTCATCTTCAGGTGAATGTGAACTGCTCCCTGACACATCTTCATCTGACAGCATGCCATCATGCTCATCTTCATCCTAATAAGATAAGAAATGGTTGTTTAGTTTATTACAATTGATAGGAAGGAACCAACTATATGTAATCAATTTGTCAGATACCGTGTTTTCTCCTTCTCCGTTCTGCCACAGAACAGCCTTAGAAGTGCTCACAGCTTTAGATGCACCTAACGAACTCTGGTGAGTTGGATCATCTGATTGCTTGCAATCTTCTTTCCTTTTATAGTTTTTCCCTTTCGCCCACATGTTATCAAAATGTTCCGGGGCAAGTGCTTCAGTCTTTCTGCGAGAAAACACTTCTAGCATATCACCCCACTCACCTCCAGAGTGATGACGTTTAATAAGTCTTCCATCATTGGAATGGTTTTGCATTGGCAAAGCATTCCAAGATCGTGTTGATCGTGTGTCAATCAAAAGCAATGGATCCTTCGAAAAGTCAGCTCCATTTGCAATTTCCTCCGTGATACTTTCAGAATGGTCCTTTTTCAACTCTACAAGTTCAACACCGTTAACAGCGCGGTCTATAAAAGGAGAAAAATTATCTGTTGATACTTTTGCAGATCCACTTGTGCTGGACTTGGGTTGAACTTGTGTCGCTGCTGTAACTTTCTCAGACTTTTTTGTAGAAGCCACTAGAATTTCAATCCTCTCATTAATAAATCTGTGGTCAAGATTTCATCATTAGATAAATAAAAAGCAGTGTTCGACTATACAACAACAACATCCAAGCGTTATTCCCAAAAGATTTTGGGGTCGGCTAACATGAATCGATCCATGATATCAGGGCCAAAAAGCGAAGAAAGATAAGAAAAATAAAAAGATAAGGTAAGATAAAATGGATAAGATAAAGATAAATCATCATCATCATCATTACCCCAGTGCCGCAAAGGCTCCACCTACGGTGGGGTGGGGGTGGGGGGTCGGATGAACCATAGTGAAAATCGCGTCAAAATATGCATGGACTGACTGATGCTTCATAACACAGGAGCGCAAACAGTTTAGTGAACCATTTTGCTTTATTCCATCATATTCCCGAGCCAAAAATAGTGAGTCTTTGGCTCCATTGCAAATGATGGAAAAAAGATAAAGATAAATATAAGATAAAAATAACATAAGAACATAAGAAAGATAAAAAATAAAAAGATAAAGAACCCAAGAAAGATAAAACTAATAATACACATACACACCTTGGGTTAGCTAAGTTTAACACCGGCCGCATTACTACACAAGCAAGAAGCTCCCTGACAATGAAACGGAATAAAGAGCATTGTAGATCATCTGGTTTGAATGTAAATGAAATCAGGCCATCCATGAGATGCTGGAGAACCTGCAGGTATTCAAGCAAAAATATACAACCTGCCTATGTAACAAATCTGACAAGAATATATATACATACAGCAGGTAAAATTAAGAAAACGGAAACTCGGATAACGTAAAGGACAGAATCACCTTGTGCTCAGCTTCGGGAGAAAATAAAGCAGGATGCAATTTGCTCTCCGCATCCAACATTGACTTAAGCTTCACGTCACGCTCTTCGATAGTTAGGGATTTTGACTGTTGTTTTTCTATCCTCGCCTTACAAACACGAAACAACTCTAAGTGAGTGCTTATACAATTGATAGTGTCCCTGCAATGCAGAAAGCAGATGATTAGATAGCACATACAGTAAAATGATAGGATAACTGGCAATAACATCTTCAAAACCAAAACTATAAACCTTATTAATAGATCTATAAGATTGATATTTCTCATGCGGCATGAAATTTCCCCCAGCACACAGTTCATGATCTGCACAAGTTCTTCTGGACCTTGCATATCAGAAGTTATTCGAGAGTACCAGAGATCTGTTACCCACTCTGAGACTATATGTCTTGTGAAGTTATCTATTGCTTTCTCCACGGTAGGAGAACTCACTTTCATCCTCCAATCAGACTTTCTAGCAAGGACTTTTGGACCCTCATCTTTTCTTTTCTGAAAATCAGTATTTACAGCGAATGTTTTTCCCTTGTAAGTTGCAGCTTTCCTTCGGGCCTCAAAATCCAGAGATAGATAGCGAAGAGAGAAAATCAAGAGGGCAGCAGCAGGCAGGTTGACTAAAACTGAAGAGCTTGTCACTGCATAAAAATAGGGGGGAACAGAAGCATATATAAAGCCCAATCCAAAGAAATCAACTGATTTGTGTGTTCAAAAGAAGTGAAAGTAATTGTCTAAACTAAACAAAATTCCTAAAAAACTTAAAAACATAGCAAGCCGATCACTCAACCAAATGGGCTTTAATGACCCATAAAGATTGTTTTGCAGGCTTAGTTTTAAAAGGCGTGAGGCGGCTTGAGGCGCTTTCATTGATTTACCCGAGGCGCGAGGCGCTAGGCGGTGAGGCGCGCGCCTCACGGAACTAAACAATATAAGTATATAACTTTGGTAAATTATATTTATACTTCATGAACGCATGAAACAAGCCATATTTATACCTCAAGCCATGAAACAAGCTTACGTAACATCAAAATCAGTCACAAAAAAAAAAATTCAAACAGTAACAACAAATATGTTAAATGCCTATTCATAATGTAATTAAAAAGCAAAGTAGCAAACTCACAAGCAAAGTAGTGTACTCATCGACAATTAATAGCAATTTTTAATAAAACCATTATATAATCAAGTGTTAATATTTACAAACTGTCATAATAAACTCTTAATAATAATTTTAACAATTAACAAAAATTTTATTTAATAAATTGTTATATAAGAAGTTTTTTATAATAATAAACTCTCTCTGCATAAAAAATAATATTTTCTAATATAACTGTTACATAATAAACTATAAACTAAAACCCAGCTTATAGTAATATTTTAATAATTTAAAAGAAATAAACAGTCCATACTAATTTCTAAACATTTAATAGTAATTTTTTTGAAAGTTATGATAAATTTTTAATAAACTATAATTATTAAAAGTAAAAACTTAAACATCTAATTGTAGAAACCCTCTTTATTATTATTATTATTATTATTATTATTATTACTATTTAACATTGATAAACCATCTGATTTAGTTTAGGGTTTAGGGCAGATTGCTAAAGTGTTAATATTTAAATAATTGAAACTGTTTGGTAAATTTAAAAATTTTAAAATAAAAAGAGAAGAAAAGGTAAAGGAAACAAAAGAGAAGAAAGAGTAAAGGAAACCTGCGACTCCTTAAAACAAACCTGCGACTCCTTTAAAAAAAAACTGCGACTTTACGATGCTAGGAGAGAGGAGCGGAAGAATAGGGAAAGGCAAAGAGAGAATCGCCAAAGGTCTCGCAGGGACAAGTCGATACTCATCCCAGAGGCGCCAGAGGCGGCCGCATCACAGAAGCGCAGAAAGCGTCAAAAAGCGACGGATGGGGCGCGCCTTTGGGTATCTACTGCGCCTGGGACTAGCAGATGCGATATACCCATCGCCTAGCTGCGCCTCGCGCCTTTGCGCGCCTCAGGCGCGCTTTTTTAAACTAAGTTTGCAGGAAATAGACAAATTTTTAGGAACTTATTATAAGTATAAAAATTGTACGTGTACCAATTGATATGTGACTTTATCTGGAAATCCCTCAAATAAGGAATCACAAAGAGCAGCATAGACAAAAATGTTACAACTACAACATAAACTCTAAACTTCTAAAGATACACAAACAGATACAAGGAGATAAAATAATCAGAAGTAATCGTATGAACACAAACCTATACAAAAATTAACTCTATCCAAGGATGACAATATTTCATGCATTTACTTTATCACCAATTCCTTCTGTTATTACTACGGGCTACGCCCATAGCATGATTGGGGATGACATTTATGGCATGTTTTTGTTTTCATTTACAAATCTCTTTTACTAAATTTTCCACGTTTTTGTTTTCATCAGGAACTTACAAAATGTATTTAAGTTCAACCAGAAAACTACCTATACACTTCCACATACAGTCATACACCAATAATGGCCTCTGCAACTACCAACATATATACTTTCGGATTCATTAGTCAACAAGCTTAATGTGGACATATTAGGGAAGAAAACTGCAAATACAAATACATAAAATGTTATGTACCAGGATTCTTTGCATCACGGGAAAGAAATAAAAAATGATAAATGGACAGGGGCTATGGAAATTTGGGGAGTTTTCCTTCTCCTTGCTTTCTTCCATATTTTATTAGCATAACAAAGCTCCCTTTCATAAGAGGGATTACATGCAGAAAACAAGGGAAGGGAAATCCTAGAAAATCACTTCCTAAAATAGATTAAATAATGAAGGTATTAAAATCAAATCATAATAAACTCAACCAAGCAAATCAATCAACTATACTCCTCATTATTCTACTTGATTGCTCTTTTTATCTTTCCATAATATTATATTGTAGCATGCATCATTACACCCCTCCTCGAAAATCAAGCTTGCCCTCAAGTTTGAAAACTTGAACTGGATTTTCAATGAATGCACCAATAAAAAGTGCCATTTATCCTTGTATTCTTGAAGAAGATTGAAAGTCACTCTTAGTGGTGGACTATGGCCAAGGTGATCAGCATCCAGTAAACATTCCATTGGAATACAATGGCAAACTGGGACAGGCTTAGTGGACCAAAATGGATCGGGGAAGTCCAAAAAGTTTGTTTTGGGTAGTTTATCGGGTAGAGCAGTATGCAATACGGGAGTTGCAGACAGCGTTGGCTCTAGAAGATGCTGTGTTGGAAGCAACGCTGACAGCGGTTGAGACAGAAATTCTGCAGATGAAGTGTTTAGTGACGGCGGTTGAGGCAGAAATTCATCTCCTCCCAAGGAGTCCACTGATTCGAAAAGGTTGGCAATATGGTTAGAAAGTTTCTGAAGTGACTCCTGTAATGGTGGCAGTGCTTGTTGCACCTTTTGCACTGTATTTTGCAGATTGCGAAGATGCCCTTCGCTTATCAGTTTGTGTAACTCCTTCTGTATCTCTGAGAGGAGCGTGTACTGATCAGCAGGAAGTGCGAAATTCCTCATGACGCCGGCAACGGAACCAAAATGTATGTACCAGGATTCTTTGCGTCACGGGAAAGAAAAAAAAATGATAAATGGGCAGGGCTATGGAAATTTGGGGAGTTTTCCTTCTCCTTGGTTCTTAATTTTTCTTCCAGGTTTTATTAACATAACAAAGCTCCCTTTTATAAGAGGGATTACATGCAGAAACAAGGGAAGGGAAATCCTAGAAAATCACTTCCTAAAATAGATTAAATAGTGAAGGTATTAAAATCAAATCATAATAAACTCAATCAAGCAAATCAATCAACTATTACTCCTCATTATTCTACTTGATCAGTTGATTGCTCTTTTTATCTTTCCATAATACGGAGTATTATATTGTAGCATGCATCATAATCCTTATTCATTCATGTCTAGCCATGTACATGTAGCTCCTCATTAGAACCATGTGCACTTGTGTGGCATATTTGCACTATCTTCATATGTCCAGCAGGGACGATGTATGCTCTAAGTACTTTTAAATAGCAAGGGACGAGGTAAAGAAAACGTTCATCTCCCGGTCTTAGTTGAGATTATCTGATTGTTGCACAAAACATCACACACTAACAGACGGGACCTTTGACAGTTGTTTTTTCGTCTAGATTATTTCGTTTAACAAGAAGAAATATAAAATGACTGCAACAAGATATGTGGTATATGTATAATTGGAGAGTGACCTATTAAATCAACTAGACTTCTATCATATCCCCAAATGACAATCAAACACTTAGTGAGTTCGTGATTCACCAATCACACTGTAGAACCCTAAGCCATAAACTAGCTGGCTGCAATCAACAATATTTTAGCATGTGAGAATGTTCAGCACGCATTCCATTAATCCACTCATAACAGAAAAGATCTCATCCAGAGTAAATCAAGCAGATAGCAGACAATAACCAGAGCGGAAAATCAACACTTACGTGACATAAGATATGAGAGTCCAACTACGCAAACAACAAGGAGAACAATCCTCTTCTTTGCTTCCTCGACGAGGTCCCGAACAGGCACCGCCTGCCTTTCGCTGCTCATTTCGGACCTCTACTAATCAATCAGCCCTTCGGCTTCACAAAGCTCACATGGATTAAATTCAACTGCTCGCTCTCTTCATGAACTTCGGGAATTATCATCAATTGAACAGCACTACTCCTGCTTAATCGCTATTATTCTCAAATTTCTTAGAAACGAAAATTACCAATGCGAAAATCAGAAACGAGTGCTTCGCTTATTTAGTTTGATCCTCTGAGCCAGGGACATGTAGGTTTCCGCGTGTTTGGTAGTGCGTGTATTTGTCTGTCACTTCTGTGTATTTAGCACCTTTCTCTGGCCCCTCTCTCTCTCGGCAGTATTCTTCTTCGTACACGCCGGAGGATGTCAGACTCAGAATATGGACAACGGGAGTACGGAACTGCGGTCGATGTGTATACGTCGTCGTTCCAGTGATAGAAAGCTTTTGTGCTGGAGAACTGGCCCGCATGTACGTAGTAGTATAGTATAATTTTGTGCGGGTTGTTGATGTTCAATTCGCACAGTTAACTCGAAAAAGTTCCAATTCACCCGCAAATTATACCGTGGGATCGGCCCACCATGAGCATGATGTGCCGATCCCAAAACGACGGCGTTTTATACTCCGTATTAATTAAAACACAGAGCTGACAAAAAATCACCTTCTTCTCCAACCGTCCAGCGTATGCTTCATCCCTGGGGCCAAAAATTTCCTTTGGTGGTACGAAGCTTCCTTGCTGGACATCCCTACTGAATCGAATTTCTTATACTCGGTGCATATGTATTACAGAAACGGATGTTAGCAGACAAAGAAATACACAGAGCTTAAAATCTCAGATCCATTCATATATTCCCCCATCTTCCTTATTTAAATGCATTTTGTTTGGGATTCACACTCTATTCAGACGTTTCTCTTCCCATATACATACTATTGGATTCTCATACAATTGTTCTTCTCACAATTACATTTGATAATACGAAGTACATGAAATTATATCTTTTTGTGTGTGAGTTACATCTTTATGTGCATGAGTTACATCTTTTTACAAACGAGTTACATCTTTTGAAGCGCGAGTTTCATAGAGACTTGCCCCAACAAGTTACATTCAGTATACACCTAAGTTACATTTGTCATCAACGTGAGTTACATTTATAATAACACGAGTTATATCAAAAAATCAACCTCTGTTATTAAAGCAAAAAATAGGATAATTTTTTTTAAAATTCATTTGATGGTCATGATATTAAAAACAAAACATATTCACGATTTACGTAAAGTAATTGTGCAATTAGACTCTTTTTTTAATTATTTACATTGAAATCAATGTTTTATTTCTTATAATATGTATTTGACAAGTTACATTTCGAATGGACTTGAGTTACATTGATCAATAACGTGAGTTACATCTCTTTACACACGAGTTACATCATGCTCCTACTGGGACAAGAGAAAGAACAAAAAAAAAGTTACTGTTCACGCGCGCGTGAACAGTAACACGCGATTTTTGCCTTTGGGAGCACCATGCTCACCGTGGGTTGCTCCCACGGTATAACGACTCCAATTCACCGGTTGCTAAATGCTAAATAGTTAGAGCAGTCCATGGTGCGCATGATGCTCCACAGGCCAAAAAAACGTGTGTTACTGTTCACGCGCGCCGTGAACAGTAACTTCTTTTTAATTTTTTCATTATCACAACAGCAGAACGATGTAACTCGCGTGTACAGAAATGTAACTACACTAATAAAATATGTAACTGCAGGCGAGTCAGAATGTAACTTGTCTAATACGGAGTATGAATTATAAGAAATATAACATTTATTTCAATGAAAATAAGAGGTCTAATTGCTCAATTACTTTACGTAAATAATGAATATATTTTTTCAATATTAATACCATAAAATGTTTTTAAAAGAATCTCTTTTGTGGCAAAAATAATTATTATTATAGCCAAAAAATTACTCTTTTCCCCAAAAAATCATGTTTTTTGCAAAACAATGATTCTTTTGTTTGAATAGTAGGGCTTTGTGAATTTAATTATGTTGTAATTTAATTACTTAAAGATAAAGATAAGTAAAAAATAAAAAATAATTAGATGTAACTCGTGCATAACTAAACGTAACTCGTGTTGCTACAAATGTAATTTCAGTCAACAACAAATGTAATTTGTGCTCTGAAATGTAACTCATGTTCTATCACTTTTGATATGTGAAATCTAAACCACGTGTTATAAAATGTAACTTTAAATACATGGAAATGTAAATCGAATGTATGTAAAATGTAACTTGAGTAATGTAAATCGAGCTAAATCAAAAAATGTAAATCATATTAATTTAAACGTAACTTGAACACAATTGAAATGTAAATGAGTTTAATAGAGGAGTAACTTGAGCCCAAATAAAATATAACTTGTCCATTATACATACATACACCATATATTAGCATAATGAATACCAAGCAGGAAGCACAATCGTAGATTCGTAGATACTCTTTCAAAACAAAAAAACAATCGGGGATGCTGTTAAACTCAGGAGTCTAAATGGAGTTTTTCGCCGGTGAACCTCTTCACCAGATTACGATGGATTCCAGGTGAGACAACAAGAAGAAGTTAGGAGAACAATGGACGGTTTGGATTTGGGACGGAACAATCGTGGTCGGAAACTGAGCTACTATTCCGGCGCGGCGCTCCCAGACGTATAGCAGAGGTACAGCAGCGTAGCAAGTCCAGATGCACAACAAGGTCAAAAGCAATTCCAGATGCAGAGCAATTCCAGATGCTGGTTGGAGCCCAGCAATTGCAGATGCGGACTCTCAATTTAGTGGGGCAAGACAAATTCGCTTTATGTTTTGATTGAAAGATGGTACCGTTTTGGGATCGGTACACCATGAGCATGGTGGGCCGATCCCACGGTATAATTTGCGCCAATTCACCCCTAAACTCAACAAAAAAGTTCAAATCCCACTTTTTGCATGTGAATTTCCGGTCATCGCCACGTCAGCCAGTTATATGCCAATCGTGCATCCCACATGGAAATCTAAGGGGTCAAATAGACCCCTGAACCCGACAAAGTTGTTCAATTTACCCCCTCAATTGTTAAAAAGTGTCCAAATTGCCATTAAAAAATAAAAAATAAAAAATAGAAAATAAAAATAAAATAAAAAATTATATGTAAGTCTATTTATAAAATATAAAATGTTTATATTTTAGGTAAATTATATATATATATATATATATATAGGAAAAATAGTACGCAAAATACAAAATTTAATATTAATTTGTAAAAAAATGTATGGTTGATTTTTTTAAGGGATTTAAAATATCGAAATATGTTTTAATGTATTTGTTTTGTTTTGTTTTATGTGAATTTACCGCAAAAAATAAGGATATATTTATATTTATAGTAAATTCATATAAAATAAACTAAATGAAATTCATTAAAACTAGTTTCATATTTTTAATATGTTTTAGATTTATATGTAAAATTACACACACACATGCATATATGTATATATACTTCGTATTATTCTATTCTAGAATTATATACTACGTACTATACTTCATACTAATTATATGCAACATAAAAATTTTATACTATAAAAAATTATAATATGTGAATAGCTACGGACTACTACTTTTTTATATTATGTATTTAAAAATAAGTACTTTCACTATTTTTATATATATTTAATTTACCCTAAAATATAAAAATCATTTTATTATATTATAAATAGTCATCCTCCCTCCGTTTCTAAAAGAACCTCACACTTTCCTTTTTTGGATGTGCCAAAATAAAAGTCACACTTCCCTTATTTCCTTATTTGGCAAAGAAATCTACATCCAAACAGTGCCAAACAGTGTCAAACAGTGTCCAAACAGTGCCAAACAGTGTCTAAACAGTGTTTTTTTACAGTAAAGTCAATTTATTTCCTTAATAATCGTGAAGTCAAACCGTGACTTTCTTTTAGAAACGGAGGGAGTATATTTTATATCATGAACTTGTATTTCATTTTTTTTTAATTTCACATGTTTGAATAGCAATTTGGACATTTTTTAACGGTTGAGGGGTAAATTGAACAACTTTGTCGGGTTCAGGGGTCTATTTGACCCCTTAGATTTCCACATGGGATGCACGGTTGGCATCTAACCGGCTAACGTGGCGATGACCGGAAATTAACCAGCAAAAAGTGGGATTTGAACTTTTTTGTTGAGTTCAGGGGGTGAATTGGAGCTTTTTTTAGTTCAGGGTGCGAATTGAGTCCTACTACTTGCACCTTTGCCTAGGGTGATTCGTCAATAAGGAAGACTTGGTTCGTGCTTCCATTCTTATTTAAAATTACAGAATTGCTCATGGATATTTAAACAATGTTTTCTATTAAACATTTGGGGCATGCATGCTCATGTTTGCCACGTGTGGCTAATTATCAAACATATTTTATTTCCGCATTTGTTTGATTATTATATTATTGTTGAGTGTACGAGTTTACTAATCGGATTGGCAATAGAATCTATCGGACGCCTTGTATGATTTAATAGGAACGAACTCTGTTGTTCTTATTGGGTTGTACTGCGGTTGTCTACGTGGCACGGATGCGGTCCGGTGCATGACATACATGCCCCTTGTACCGCTTCGTCATCTTTATTTGATGGCGAGAAGCTCATCTACAGGCCCCTCGGCCATACATTACTCTATCATCTTTATTTAATGACGTGAGACTCTCATACAGGCTTCTATGTCATTCTTTGTTGTAGCCATCTTTATCTGGTGATGTGAAGGACATATCCACCCATCAGCCTTATATTTTGGTCATCTTTATTTGATGAACCATACATCACATATTGGACGGTCGCTCGACCTATCCCCTAGTCATTTTTATTTGATGGCTAGGATTACTTATCATGCCGAGCCACTCACACAAGAAGACTGGTCTCGGTCATCCCCTTAATAGACGGCGACCGTTGTAGCCCTACACCTGGGCCGAAAGGGGTCACCCTTTTGCTTCATTTTGGGGGCATCTGGTGTACTCTTTTTTCCTCATTAGGATTTTTCCTCACATGTTTTTTTCCCTAGTAAGGTTTTTAACGAGACATCTCCCCCACGTGGACACAAGGTGTCGACCCTCAACCCTCATTGCTTACATCACGAGACATGATCTACTCTACTCATCTTCACCTCATTACATCCACCTCAAGGAGTAGGGGCTGGAGAAGCGGGGGACTTAGCGCCTCCGTTAATCGAAGAAGCACAAATTCAAAAATTTTCACAGAATTTACTCACTAGACGACGACAGACCAGCACACAATTCTACTCCCTTTCACCTCGAGTACTCTCAACTCAGGGAGTGGGAGACTCCTGATAGAGTATATAGGTCTGGACCCCTCAGCCATGTCACATTGGCCATGACCTTCGACGAACAACTCTACTTTTGTATGATAACCACATTCCACTCAGAAGCACCTCAGATTTCATAAAAATGTATCATTTCTGCCATGACATCCTGACCCGGACCCTCGTGTGGAGAACACCATCAGATTGTCTTCCCTGTAGAATTTTTTGATGAAATTTTTTGAGAATGTTCCTCATCAAGCCCAGTTTATTCATACCAAATTTCAGCTTAAAATTCTATCGGGAAGATAGTTAAACAAATTCTTGAAACATATTGCATTTATATATGTATAAAAAGTGTTGTAAGAGAAGAGCCGCCACTTGGAGTGACGGCTTTTGTACTGTAAGAGAAGAGCCGCCACTTCAAGTGGCGGCGTTTCTTAACCACGGTTAACACAGTAGTATTTTGGGAATTATTTTTAACTCAGCAGTATTTTGAAAATTATTTATTTAATTAGCATTATTTCGGGAAAAACTCCTTTATTTCAACTATATATAAATCATTACTCCCTCCGTCCCGGAAAATTGTTCCCGCATTGACTTGGAACGAAGTTTAAGAAAGTGGGAATAAAGTGGAAATGTATGGTTGTGGTTGAGTAAGAAAAAGGTAAATGAATTGTAGGTACAAAAACTTCCCAAAAGGGGAAAGGGGAACAATTTTTTGGGATGACACAAAAAGAAAACAGAGAACAATTTTCAGGGACGAAGGGAGTATATCCTAATTTTTGAAAATAGAAATACAAGGAGTGTTGTGTTATGCTCCGTATACACCAACACACATGTGTGTTGTGTTATACCTCGAAGTATTATATAGGAATAGGGGCAAAGGTAGGACTTATCGACGACTCATTCTATATTTTGAATTTGTTTTTGTTATTAATGTAAAAATTATTGAAAAAAAATCATTTAACAATTTATAACCATCATAATGTTACGAAGAATACTAAATGTATATTTCGTTTGTATTGAAAATTTACGAAATAGAAATAAACAGTTTTAGAATTCTAAAATAGAACTGTTGTATTTTTCTTCTTGAATTATGATTAATAATACGACAATATTTAGAAAGAATGGCACCATTATTACCTCCCACCTTTTATTAGACCAAAATATGAGTGGATTTTTGTTTGATAAAAAAGTGACCGCTAAACCCCGTTAACATTTTGTTTCTTTCTGTCTCCCTTGTTGCGCACGAACTTCAGGGACAGAGCATCATCGATGGGAGAAGCTTCTCCACGCACAGAGAAGCCAGAGCAGCGTCCATCCCGTCAGACCGCCGCTTCATCCGATGCCTTGGCCATCTCCTATCTTCATCGACCGCACCTCCGACAGGGACGGCTGCGCCGCTGTTGCAATTCCGATGTCGCTGCTCTATTTGGGGCTAGGGTGAGTCGACTCGCCTTCTTCTTCTTCACTGCGCACTGTCTTCTTCTTCGTCTTCTCTTCTGTGAATCGTCTTCTTCGTTGTTGTCAAGCTTCATCGATTCATTCTGCCGCCCTATTTCAGATCTGTTTTTTTGGGCTGGTGTGACTCGAGCGAGCTGCAGAGGGGCAGACTGGTGCAAGGTAGGGCGCTGATTGGTTGGGTTGTTTTAGGTCGCATAGGGCTGGGCTGGAATCACATGGTGGCGTGGGCTGGGTGGCGTTGAGGTTAGGTGATGGCGGCGTCTAGGCGGCGTTGGGGTAAGGTGGTGGTACGGGCTGGGCAAGGGGAAGGGGCGCTGGGGCAGGTAGGCTGGGGGTGGGGATGGGGAGCTGTAAGAGGACTGGGAAAGCAGTGGCAAGGGACCCGGGGCTGGGGTAGGCCCCCCCGCTGATGGCCAGAGTTGGGGTGGTGGTAGGGCAGTGATTGAAGCTGGGGCATGTGGGCGGTTGTCGGGGCTGTGGCCGGTGGGGCTAGGCAGTGGTCCCTGATGCAAAGGTGTGGTGGAGGTAATGGGCGGTGCCGTCGGCAGTGACCTGCGGCGGGGCCACAGTGCGGCGGCGACTACGGTGACACGGGCGGTGGCTGTAGTGACACAGGCGGCGGCTTTAGTGACACGGGCGGTGGCCGCAGTGACACGGGCGGTGGTCGCAGTGACACGGGCGGTGGCCACAGTGACAGGGGCGGTGACCGCAGTGACACGGGCGGTGGCTACAGTGACACGGGCGGTGACTACAGTGACACGGGCGGTGGCTACAGTGACACGGGCGGTGGTTACAGTGACACGAGCAGTAGCGGGAGTGACACAGGCGGTGGCGGCAGTGACACGGGTGGTGGCGGCAGTGACATTTGATAGTGACATTAAAACAGGATAGTGACATTAAAATCAGGGAATGACATTAATATGACCTTCTTGATCACTTTTTTGCCCCTTTTTAAAAGTGCTCACTTTTATGGTAATTGGTTCAAAATTAGTAATATTCAAATAAAAACCCCCAATATTTATCGTCATCTTGAATCTATTAGTACCAAATTAATCGTTATGCTCGACAATAACTTGACAAAATCTCATTTCAAAACGAAAACTATAACATTTTTTTTGGAAGAATAACAATTTTATTTTAAAATTCCAAAACCTCTTTACTTCTACAAGTTGTATTTAAGAAAATTTTCCGTCCTGTATTGAAATACCCGTAATCTGCGGGGTATGCGAACACAAATTGTTAACTGATTCGGACCCGAATTGGTCGGCTGCGATTTAGAGGAGAAGAAAAACTGCTGGTCCTCGTTTAGGAAAGGAATGTGAGTCCCGGCAGAAAATTGGAAATCGACGCGCACCCCTTTGACGTGGCGCTACGGCAGCGCAAGCGACGTCGTTTTGAGCGAAGTCAGTTTCAATCGCATCGTCTTGCTACTACTGTTTTGTCCATGTGTTTGAAAAAAGCTCATCTCTGCCCTCGAGATTCTCTCTCTTTTTGCATCACTCTCTGTAGTTGTCAATGCAGTCCAGCCTAAAGGGTATACTCCGTAACCAATAATATCCATGGCATAAAGGGAAAGTTATCGGAAGAAAGGCTACATATATTGGATTAGAATAAAATCTACGCCACCTTCCTCGCCGGAAACCTGAACTTGTCCGATGTCATCGTCGGATGATCCGGCTGGTGGGTTTTCTCCGCCGCCAATGCTGTTGCCGGGTGGCTCGACTAGTCCCGGCAACGCCACATTCGCTCCGCCGGCCACCAACAGCTCGCCTTCTTCAGGAAGTCAGCCGGCCTCCCCGCAGGCATCGGATAGCAACCAAGTCAGGACTGCCCTCTGTATTGGAATAGGCATAGGCGGAGTGTTTATGCTCATCTGCGTGGGCATTTTCGTCTTTTGGTACAAGACGAGAAAGAGGTGTCGTGAATCTCATTATAATGAGAAAGGCCTCAAAGGTGTGGCATCTCTGTTCTCTATTTTTCTGAAAGATTTGATTTTTAGGTTTTCTTGAAGGTTCTTTCACTCCATGTCATTATCTGTTCTACTAGATGTTTTGAAAGATTTTTAGATTTTTAGGCAGATATTCTTCTTCTTTTGTTGTTCTTAAAATCCCCTAATTTCTTTTAACAACTAAAGCGAGAAGGGTTTTGAACCAAATGTTTTGACCTTATTTCAGATTATTTCTTAATCATAAGAGTAAAGATTAAGGTTGGACCTAAATCAACCCCAAAAGAGCTCTGAACCCTAGGACTCGTTTGCTTCCACATTTACTGCAACCTTCTTAGGTTTTTGCTAAGGCTGTCTTATGTATGAACCTTTTTTAGCTTCACCATCTGGCCAGAAACTGGGAATGCAACGAAAGCAGTCTCCTCAAACTGTCAATAAATCAAAATGGTCTACGAATTCGCCAAGACTTTCCACTGGAAGTAGCTCGAAACCCACTTTCACGTATGAAGAATTAGCACTTGCAAGTGATCACTTCTCCGATTCTAACCTTCTTGGACAGGGAGGATTTGGATATGTTCATAAAGGAGTGCTTGGTGATGGAAGAGAGGTTGCAATTAAAAAGCTTAAAGTTGGGAGTGGGCAGGGGGAGAGAGAATTTCAAGCAGAGGTGGAAATCATTAGTCGGGTTAATCATTTGCACCTTGTTTCACTGGTGGGTCACTGCATTTCTGGGTCTCAGAGGTTGCTAGTATATGAGTTTGTTCCAAACAAAACTTTGGAGTTTCACTTACATGGTTAGTCCTTCATTTGAAGCTTGTCTTTTTTTTTTTTTTACTTTCTACTTACATGGGGTCTCTGGTAAACTACTTGCTGGGATAGGAATAAAATGTCATTAATGTGTAGCCCCTACGGTGGTATTCCCATTTAAAAGGTTGTGCTTTAAATTCCGTTCTCATAAATTATATCCTTTTACACGTATATCACACCCTTTTTTTGTAAAAAAAACATTGCTGATAGAGAGCAGGGAGAGCAGGGGGCTGTGTGGAAGAGGAGGGTCCGAGACCCAAGGGCTGTCGGTTTACTCCAGGCGGGAACGGGCTTGACCCACCTTTGTGGGCTGGCTGCGGGCAATTTAATTAATTTTAATTATAAACCGACACAGCCCCCTGCTCTCCCTGCTCTCTATCAATTGCATACCAAATGGAGCTAATTGCCAAAAAGTTACAAATAGTTCTTTTGCCTTGATAAATACCAAAAGATAAAAAATTGAAAAGTGTGTTGGATTCAACGATTTTTAAGAGTTGTACCAAAAATAAAACTTTTTGCCTCAATCACACAGAACTTATTCTTTTGAGACAATGGGAGTAATATTTTGTTCTGGTATTCCTATTGGCATTCACATGCCTACATTTATCACTCTTTCCATGGTACCAAAAAAGAATTCATTGGAAACATTTTTCAGGGAAGGGGTTGCCTCCAATGAGCTGGGAGATAAGGATGAGAATTGCTTTAGGTTCTGCAAAAGGATTGGCTTATTTGCATGAAGACTGTGAGTTTTCAACATTGTTCTTTTTCTTTTCAATGCCATTATTGTATGTAAATACTTTTCTGTACCTTTGAGTTAAGTATTATTGTTTTTACAGGTCATCCTATGATCATTCATCGAGATATCAAGGCTTCCAATATTCTACTAGACAATGATTTTGAGCCTAAGGTGGAGTGATATATCTGCATCCTCACTTAAGTTAGTTTATAAAAGCATAATGCTTGAGTTTTATGTGAAATTACAAAATACTTTTCATCTAACTTTTCATTATGAGTTCTTAGCTACAAGAAATATTTTTGTAAACATGCATGTTGTGTGATTTGGATGAAATTCTGAATCCTTTTACTTGGTATTACTGACAGAACACTGACATTTATTTATTCCCACGCAATTTAATGTTCTTGTTGATGTGATAATGTTAACATTTCATTAATCATCAAGTTTTATATCGATTCTTTATTCAGGTGGCAGACTTTGGTCTTGCTAGATTGAATCCTGATGCAGACACTCACGTCTCCACACGAGTAATGGGAACTTTTGGGTAAGATGTTCGTCTTCCCTGGAGATATTATTTTTTCTTCCTAACCCATCCACGTCAACAACAGACAACAAAAACATCCACGCTTTAGGGCGTGTTTGGAACTGATTCTGCTTCTGCTTCTGCGTCTTTTTTAAAGTAGAAGCAGAATCAGAATCAGTTTTGAGAAGCTGGTCTCCCACAGCTTCTAAAAAACTGATTCTAGGAGTAAATTAGGGCACCCGAAGTACTTCTGCACTTCCACCCAAACACTCCAACTTCTGATTCTGCTTCTGAAGGAGCAGAAGCAGTTTTAAGAATTAGATCCAAACACCCCCTTAGTCCCAAAAGAGTTTGGGGACGGCTAATATAAATCAACATATGAAACAAGAAGTAAAAGGAAAAAAAAGAGATCAATCCTCCACAAGTATATTCTTCATCCACTTCGCTCTCTCCAAAGTCATACACTCATCCAACATTCCAACCCAAGAAACACCATATAATTCCTCACCACTCTAGTTCCTATCTAACTCATCCACATCGAACAAATATAAAGTTAAAAATCAACATGTAAGATTTAGCTCTTATTTGAGTGAACTCAGGATAAAATTATAAGTTTTAATATGGTGTCAAAGCATATTAAGTTCAAATGAGCAACACAAATCTGGTCAACCAAAAGATAGATGAGCACATAACTTTCAAAATTGTTCTGCTCAAACCAATCACCATGTTGGGAGCATGTCAAACCATCCACATCACAAAAAGAGCATACATATCAACATATAATGATACTCCGTATAAGACATTGAGTTACTCCTGCTAATTTTCTAGAACTAAACCTCCAATATTAATACTGATTAAATCTTTTTGCTGGAGTAAGACTGCTTGAATTCAATGTTTATTTCTGTTTGATTCTGTCATGTTTTATTATTACTTTGGTACCCACTTTCACAATACTTATCATTGACAGACATCTACCTCTCACAGATATTTAGCTCCTGAGTATGCTCTTACAGGGAAACTGACTGAAAAATCAGATGTATTTTCCTTTGGAGTCATGCTTTTGGAGCTGATCACTGGCCGAAGACCACTTGATAAATCTCAATACTACCTTGATGACAACATTGTTGATTGGGTAAGCCCTCTTGATTAACGTGTTTTAGCTACTCTAATAAGTCTTACTACAATTGTTAGGCGTTTCTCATACATATTTTACTTGATTCAATAATTAACTTTAACTTATAAGTTACAAATACTTTTTGTCAAATTAATATACAGAAAAAGTACTTTTATAAAAGTAATTTAGCGCATGTGTTCCTAGAACTCCTTTTACTTCTTATTATTGGCTATCAGGAATATTAATCGCAGTACACGGCATCTTAAAATGTAAAGTATCAATAATTTAAAATGAATGTACGTCTTAACTTTAATAATAAATATTTAAACTTTCGAAGAAAGGTATGTGTTTTTATTACAAATAAAACTGTGCAATAAGTTTTATATAAAAGTGAGCAGTTAAAATTTGTTCTGTGTTACATATTGAGAGGTAACACATTTTCATTACTTTAGGCAAGACCCCTACTTTCACAAGCATTGGATGATGGAAATTTCGATTCTCTCGCGGATCCAAAGTTAATGAATAATTATGATTCATCGGAGATGAACCGAATGATTACTTGTGCTGCTGTTTGTGTGCGCCATTTGTCACGAAGACGGCCACGGATGGGTCAGGTATCTTGAAAACCCTTCCTTTATGTCATTTGTCCCTATCAAATTCTATATGTTAGATGTTTTGTGATTTGCTCTTGTTTCAACGTGGGACATTTGTGTAACAAACATTCCCATACATAAACTGTCTAGTTATATGTCGGGAAGCTCTCAGGGATAGGGTGTATCTTTTGTTTTTTGGTAAATTTATGTGGTGAGAATCACAATTTACTCCACCTATTCCTCGTCACTAGTCAATTTAGTCCCTCTGGGTTTACCTTAGCACGGGTTCTCCATAACTATGTGCTTTTTAGTCTTTTCTCAACACATTTCGTTAACTTCTCCTACCCAATACTGGTACTCCTCATGCTTATCTTGTTATCTACCACATTAATAAAGTTCAATTACAATAAGTATTTTTGAAAATTTGTTAGGAATTTTAATTTGCCAAATATATACATATATGATTGTGTTTTACAACTTATATTATACTTCGTAATAACATATTTTGACACACACACACACAGAGTAATTTACTTTTCCATTTTTACACATCGCTCAAGCAAAGATGCATAGCAACTTATAAGGTCTTGGGCACTTCCTCCATTCAGATTATGGAACCTGATTTCCTTAGTTCATTTCCTTAGATCACAGGAATATTAGTAATCTTATTTAGAGTGTGAAGACTTCGGTTCCATCATTAAAACTCAATAATTATCCCTTTTAGAGTATTAAGATTTGGGTTCTATCAATAAAACTCAACATTCTTTTCACAAGAGTGTGTTTCCTGTTCTTGGCCAACTTCTCTATGCTATAACAAATCCTCTTGTGATGCTCAGGTAGTCGAGGCTTTAGAAGGGAAGCTAGCATTGGATGAGTTAAACGGGGGAGTTAGACCGGGACACAGTTCGATTCAAGAACCTTTTGGAAGCTCAGATTATGACACGGCACAGTACAAAGAAGACCTGATAAAGTTCAGGAAAATGGCATTGACACATGCGTCAAGTGACTGCAGCGGGCCTACCAGCGAGTTTGGGCCTCAACCATCTGGCTCAAGTAGTGAAAGTGGCTTAAGAACAACACCACCTACTATTGGAAATCGGGCGGCGGTAGTTGAAGAAACCATAAATATAGAAATTCAATAGGCTTGGTCCAGAAACATCATTATCAAAATGACTAACTTTTGGATATAATTTCTTGATGCCATTCTGTTAATAGTTTCTCCAGGTAGGCAGTATTGGATTTCTACAACTATTTGGTTGTTCCTAATTATTATTTGAACCTTCAATTCGGATCCAATGTAATCAATATGTCTGACCTAAAGATCTCCCTTGAAAATTACAGAGTATTTTTTTAGAACCGTTTGAGTGAATGATAAATGGTAGTATGGTACTATCTTGACTTTGAGTTTTTTAGTGACAAGTATTCTCTTTGTATAGCCATGAGTGGAACGCTGAATTCTTATCTTATTTCTTTCTCTCCGTCGTACTTTCGGAATATGATAAAGTACTTTTTGCTAAAGGAATATATTTAAAATAATATAAAAAAGATTTTGCTGGATTTAAGCATCAAATTTATACTTTAGAATCGCAATCACTTTCGTCAATTTAAACGAACAAAAAGTGGTGTTTTTTTGGAAAAGTATTCCCTCCCTCTACAATTTGTTAGTGATGGAACTCTAAAAAGTAAATTCAGGATAAAATCTGAACCAAACATTTCATATTTTATACTCTTTGGTATAAAATGTGCCATTATTAAAATTTATATGCCGTATTTTCAAATTTCAAGTTTCATAATTCTATTTTAGTGGAGACGTGGAGTTTGCTATTAGTCTCAACCTCATTTGTATAGCCTTGCGAACTTGTAATCACTCATTCGTGAATCAACATGGCAAGTGAGACTAGACTCTACACTTCGTTTAATGTGATCCTCGTGCTAACTCTTTTTAGCGTATTATTATTGATTTATTGTGGTTGAATGTATAAAGAGACTTTTTTTAACAATCAAACCACCTATTCATGTCACAATATCAAAGTGAGACAAAGCTTGTACGGAGTATATATATTAGTGAGTGCACAATGCTATTTTATCCTACTCAGTAATTTATAAAGGAAAGAGTATTACGTATTAGACTATTGCTGAATTATGTATTTGGGGTCTTTGCTCATTTGGTACCAAAGTTGTTTTAGTTTGTATCTGTATATCCTTTACAGAAAATTTAAGAACACATATGCCATGCACATGGGCATAGCCGAATAGGTGAGGAGTTTACTAGGTTCTAAAAATTTCATGGATCATGTGGTTTCATGATAGCCACACATTTATTTAATGAATCAATAACGATAACCCAATTATAAATAAGTCGTTATAGTGAGGTCACATAAGTTATATGTATATGATATATAGCTCCATATAATTACTCGCTTGGTTTGCCTAGCTTGAACTTGAAAAGATAATACTCTGTACTTCGTAGTTCGTAGTCTTCCACTTTGTTGGAATGAATGTTAGCTGCTTGGTCCATGAAATGTCACTTAGAGTCCTTTGGTGATCTTTTTTTTCAGCTTATTAAGTTAACTTTTTTACCAAACACGTAAGTTTTGATTTCGCGCGCTGAATTATATAATAATAAGAAAAAGTAAGATTTAAGTTACTTTTCTGTCTGTATTGGCTGAAGTTACTGTAGATGACCATTTTAGCTATTTTTCATACATTTTCTTCTTCTTAATTTTATTAATAAAATATATTTTAATTTTTATTTCCGTAAATCAATAAATACAGTCACTTTAGCCATAACTTCATAAATTTCAATAAAATCAGCTGATTCAACCCATTTTAGTTTCCGTCTTATTAAACGGGCACTTGCTATATCATATGAGCATATGCCCTACTCCACAACGTCTAAATTATGAAGTTGAATTAGAGTTATTTAAATTGCAAATAAGATGAATTAACTAAAATTCACCCTAACGTCCTATTGGTCCCGTTTTCAGTCATTTTCTCTGACTCGGGTTTTCCTAGATTGATGGGGAAAGCAAAATGGCTGACTCACCTGGCTAGACCTAGTAGGCAAGTAGCTCGCACCATAAATCTTCCAAGCAAATACCATTGAATTTCTTCTAATTTCTTTTTGTTTTGTTCGACCCATTATTAATTATCAGCATCACAGCATGTGCTCAGGGAATGTAAACAACTCTTGGATTGCCCACTAAACATCCTAGCAAGGTAGATAGTGCTTTTTTTTATGGAAAACTCACTACATTATACTACCTCCGTCTTTTGAAACTTTGCCAAATTTGACCGGCTCGGGGATTAATAAAGTAAAAATTGTGTTGTTGAAGTTTGTGCAGAAGAGATAGAATTAACTAGAACCACAAATTTTTTACTTAAAAAGGAAAGTGGCAAACTTAGTGGGACATCCAAAAATGAAAAGTTGACAAAATTTTAAAGGACAGAGGTATTAAAAGATCATTAGCGCTTACAATATAACTTGCAGGAGTAAAATAATTCTTTTCGAGGTAGATAGTGGTTTATACTCCGTAATAAGTTATTATCATAATGACACGGGCTAGCCATTTTGTGTTTGTATTCTTTAAAAAAGGGAAGATAGAGTAGTCAAATTAGATCGGTCAAGTGTTAAAATTGGGATATTTCCCAATTTATAAACCTCTAAATCGCTAAGATTTAACTCAATGAATCGCCTAATAAACATTCAATCACGCATCACTGTGAGAGTTAAAATTTATTGGAAATCATAAAGATGTTGGATTAACGGGTTGAAGAATTCAATTTCCAAGACATATCCAAGCCCAAGTAAATTGAAGAATCTGATTTCTAGTTTTCATGTAGCTTCCTCCATGTGCAAGAATGATAAAGGAAAGTTTCCTCACATCAAGGAACCACCTTCCTTACACCTTCATTGAAGTTTCCTCTTAGCTAAGAACATCTCCAATGCTATAATGTGCACGGTGCACATGTGGCAGAGAGAGATACACACAAAAGATTGATTTTACGACATTTCTCTCTCCGTCTTTCTACTGTCTTATGTGTTTTTGGTAAGTTTTTCTCTGCAATGTCAACCACAATGTCTACATCTAGACATTGTGCTTGACATTGTGAAGAAAAATTTACCAAAATGATATAAGATCCTTCAAAAAAGGAGAGAGATATTTTATTTATTGATTTTTGATTGGCTATCTCTGATGCCACATATGCACCGTTAACGTATTAATATTGGAGATGCTCTTAGCTTCAAAACATTTTCCTTTCACCTTCCTAGTACCTAATTTTGTTACTATAAATAGCAAGTTTGTAGGGTCTTTCTATCATCAAGTAAATGAGATCATAGATCATCATACCATAATCAAGTAGACTTGTGAATATGATTGAGAGATATTAGCACGATCTTGTTATTCCTAACGTCCTCTTATTATCACCATGCCATAATAAGTAACCCTGATGTAGATTATCACATCCTCCTCCTAAATAATGTGAGACTTGGAATTTGTCGGATTTAAATCTGTTAAAACTATGACACAACAGTGATGTTGAACATTTTTTCTCCGTTTTTTATTTTTTGGCTAATCTGCTTTAATATTTTTCCAATTTTTTGTTTTATTTGTATCTTTTAGATTATTTCTTTTCTTATTATTTTGTATTTGAAAAATTCTAGCCGTTGACAATTGTTGTCAATACAAATGCCTTTTTTTTCTAGTGACATTATTGATTAATGATAACGCTTTGTAATGCTATAATGATGGAGTTAAAGTGTCTCTATATATTATTATTATTATTATTATTATTATTATTATTATTATTATTATTATTATTATTATTATTATTATTATTATTATTATTATTATTATTATTATTATTATTATTATTATTATTATTATTATTATTATTATTATTATTATTATTATTATTATTATTATTATTATTATTATTATTATTATTATTATTATTATTATTATTATTATTATTATTATTATTATTATTATTATTATTATTATTATTAATATTATTATTATTATTATTATTATTATTATTATTATTATTATTATTATTATTATTATTATTATTATTATTATTATTATTATTATTATTATTATTATTATTATTATTATTATTATTATTATTATTATTATTATTATTATTATTATTATTATTATTATTATTATTATTATTATTATTATTATTATTATTATTATTATTATTATTATTATTATTATTATTATTATTATTATTATTATTATTATTATTATTATTATTATTATTATTATTATTATTATTATTATTATTATTATTATTATTATTATTATTATTATTATTATTATTATTATTATTATTATTATTATTATTATTATTATTATTATTATTATTATTATTATTATTATTATTATTATTATTATTATTATTATTATTATTATTATTATTATTATTATTATTATTATTATTATTATTATTATTATTATTATTATTATTATTATTATTATTATTATTATTATTATTATTATTATTATTGTTGTTGGGATATTGGGTCCAGGCCCAATATCCCTAGGCCCAAATCCAGGAAGAAGCAGCGGGCCCAAGGCAGTCCAAAAGAACTCTCGAACGGCATTCGGGATAAAATTTATACTTGGAACATTCCGGGAAACAATTATGCCAAAGCATCAAGGCCAGGTATCGATCGGCGTTCGGGACACTTCCATTAACTAGATCACCTATGGCGGAGATACCGATCGGCATTCGGGATATGTTCATAAGCAGGATAACACCTATGGCGGGGTCCCACACACCGAACACCCTGCCCGAACGGGCAATCAGCAAGTGGAGGTCGCATTTAATGCTGGATCATGACGACAGCAAGTGGGGGCATGGGTGCATACATGGCAGAAGTGACAGCCTACCGGATTTGACCACGTGTCCACCTCGCCCATCTCTATTTTAGTATAAATACCCATGTTTAGATCATTGTAAAGGGTTAGCATTTTAAGACTCAGAGCTTAAGCAATAGATTTACATCTCCCATCCTTGTAATCTCATATTCATCTACCGTTCGGGTAGTTTCAGTGTAATTGCTTAATTACTGAATATAAGTAAGTTCTTGAGTTGGATATTATCTCACTATTTTATATTTTATACACATTTTCAACCCTACCCCAGATCCCCACAATATCCAAGGCTTGTGTTGGGCTTTCGGATCTTCGGGAATAAACCTCAACATTGGCGCCGTCTGTGGGAAACCACACTAAAAGTCCAGGCAAAGCCGAGATCTAAGCACCATTTTTTCTTGAAAATGGCTAGACTTACTACCGCGACACCAAGTTCTACGTCCAGAGGCCGTGGAGGCAATAGATCCTCTGAGGGATGGTCCAGGCAAGGACACGCCAGTGGCAGTGCCACCCGGGAGTTCGAGCAAATCATCCCCCAGGATGTAAG